GCCACCGTGCTGCTCCTGGTAAAATCATATAACATTTAAGACATGCCATGAAAAACTAGCATTGAAAAAGTGAATAATCTTTTTCAAGCCTGTTTATGGCAATAATAACAAAGAAGCATGATTCTATTCAAGAATGCGTCCAACCAAAACGTAAAACAGTGGGAGTTTCTGTGATATTACTTCACACTAAACAACCTGTTAGGAAAACATTGCCATTGTAGGTGGGAAAGGTGAAACACCCACACCTACCTCCACTCTCGTTTGCTCCACTCTGGGCCCTTGAGCAAGGCCCTTAACCCCCATCATCTGCTCCCCCATGTGCCCTAGATAGCAGCTCTCTGCTCCACACAGAGGGCTGTGGTAGCTCCGTGGTCTGGGGTTGCGTCAGGAAGGGCACCCGGTGTCAAAACAATTGCTAAGTCTTTGTGAGAGCTAATTCTCTGTGGTGACACCTGAAGAGGGGAGAAGCCAAAAGACAAAGAAAAAAAAAATCAAACTTTGAGCAAATGTCTGCTAATTTCCTGAACAAACTTTTCACAAACAGCATGCGACCAAAAGAGGCTTTTAATTCCTCAGATGGTGGCTCAGACAGCCCACTTTTGTGGACACTCCAGGGCAAGTCTCAGGAAATTAAGCCTCAGCTGTTTGATGGCAGCGAGAAGCCCCAAATATTACTACTTAGTAATTCATGACACACATAAGCTGCTTCTGTGCGGCTCTGAGGTGGTACGAAATCTTGGCCTAATTTCATTCTAAAGTTGCAAAGTGTTTGCCTTCAGTTTGTTTGCCTGCTTGTAGAGCAACTGCCAGTTTCATCTTTGCCTCAAACAAAACACTTAGAAACAGAAACAGCTTTTGTTGGGGAAGAGTTATGAGATGATTTCAAGCATCCATCTCAAGCAGCAGTGAGAGATCCCCTGGACTTGTAACATCATCGCTTTCTCATTTTCCAGGACTCACAAGACACTGGTGTAGAGCGGTGCGTGAGAATACACACACTTTGTCTCGAGCAGCTACAGAGGCGCAGAGTATTACAAGTTCACTCCAACCTGCTGTGCTACATTGAGGTGGGGAGGTTGTAAAGCCTTTGCGGCGTGTACTTAAAGCTTTACTACACGTTCACACTGCTGCTAATGTATTGTTCCCAGACCAAAACGATGCATTATCTCCCCCGCAGTTCTTCCTCTCTCGATCACAACCGGACACGCAGTCCGTCCTGGTAGCTCTGTGTGTGCCACGCAATGCTGAGAGGAGTGCAGAGATGTCAGTCATTAATCTGCTACAGCACAGCCTGTAATCCTGATGACAGAGCAGAGCAGGCTTACAGAGCAGAGAGGATGTGAGCGCAGCCT